AAAAAAACTTGAGTTTTAGTTGTAAACAATTGATTAGCTCTAATGGTTATCTGACATATAATCCTTCATTTTTTTTTTACACCATTTTGCGGCTTAAAATAAACATTTTGCATTAAAAAGTAAATATTTTGTTGTTTTTAAAGGTAACAATTTATTTTCGTTTTTTTTTTTTTTTTTTTAAATAAACTAATTTTAAGTATTTAAAATGAATTCTCAAATTGTTTGAAGATACCGTTCTGTGAGTAATGAAGTTTGCTTGTTTTATAAAACAGGTTGTGTTGAATTGAATTGCGTTGCAATTGCAATTGAAACCGAAAATCTTTGTTTTTTAAACCTAATTTTTTGGGAAGGAATTTTTTACTTCGCTGGGTGGTAATTTCAGAAAAATTTTTTTTTTTTATTTTTCTGAAAAAAAATTGATCTACATAATTTTTATTGCAAAGAAAAAAAATACAAATAGGAATGAAAAAAAAATTATTCAGTGTCACAACTCTCATCACCGTCGCCGTTTACCACTCATTATTATCATCATCATTTTCAAGGTTGTATGAATCCTGATCTTTATTTAGAGATCAAATTAATTTGAAAAATTATACAAATTCTAAACTAAATCTTATAAAAGATAACACTTCTCCTTAAGTATGCATTCAAACCTTGTAATCATCTCCACTATTAGCGCACTGAGAAATCACCATCTTTGCCAGCTTACTATGTGGCAGATGTGTCTGATCAACCGGGTGTTGGATGGCACCAGGCATAGTTTTGAGAACGTAGTTCAATTGATCATTGCTATACTCCTCTCCATACCCTACTACCTTCTGGTTGTGTACTGTCACCCACTCATTTTCATGTCCTGTAAATTCACCTCTATCAAGTGCGTTGTAGAAAAATATGAAGTTAAACCCGACTTTGTCATCAAATTCAGCGATTAATCCGAAGGCATGCTCTCTGAGATATTCTGGCATGGAGGAGGGCCATCTGAAATTCTTTCCCATGCAAGCTATGATAGGTTAAATAAAACAAACATCAAAACTTTACTACATGTATTGCTACTATGTTTTCATGTATATAAAGAAAATTTTGAACTGTACCGAGAAACCTTTGCACCTGACCAGGCCTGTGTTCATATCATATTTGAGGAGACTTTGAAGCATTTCAGGTGGATTTGGTTCCTTCATTATTTTAAATAAAATGAAAAGTCTAACGAGACATTACTCAATATTAATATATATATA